TTTCCGTCGACTTGCGTTACCTTCCTGCGGTTCGTCCAAAAAACCTTGAAAAACGTCCACTCTTGGTTTCTTCAGTTCGTAGTCACTATCGAAAACGGCTGCAGCCTGCAAAGTGGGGCTATAACGAAGCGGAACTCTTTCCGTTGGTTGGTGTCCTGTGCCGGTGCTTTTCTTGCTATTCATTCTTAACTCTGATCCGTTCGTAAAAGGTACTATCAGAAAGCCTTCTCTCTACTCGCTCTCTGCTGCTGTCCTCTCTTTCTTTACCTTCCCTTCTTCTCTTTTTTTTTATTTTTTTTTGGTAAGGTAGGGTGATTATTCGGAGGTTACTAACCGGGGTAGACTTGGAAGGAAGTTGGTCGGCTGGTTTCTACTTATTCCCTTCCTATGGGAGAGATCGCTTTATCCCTATGCTTCTACTACGATTCCCACTGCGTTCATCTTCCTGGAATAGAATTACAAGGAGGTAACAGTGGCAACGTGGGTTATTTTTCTACTGCAGGATGGGAAAAACGGCTATGGCTGGAAAAGGAAAAAATACCTGTTGACAATACTCCTACTTCACGCACCGGATTTTCGCGCGGTGAACACGAACTGGAAATGGAAAGTCTCACACTGTTTTCCGCCGTTGCAGGTACAAAGATCCATTGCAAGCGTTCGCAGCGGTCGTGCTGAAAATCCGACAAGAGAAACGGCACTAAGTTGCTTGCCTAGACCGGTTGAAATAGCCTCTGCTCTTACCGAACCTAACTTCCAGCCTTACCAGCAGACTGGCGCCCGCAGGGCGGTTGGCGCTTCGGCCTCTACCTTAGCCCCTCTATTTCTTTGGATTCCATTGGTCGAACCGGTGACTGGGGCCCAGATTGCTTCCGCACCCCTTTACAGGGGTCGAACGCGAAGCAGACTCTTGAGGGGTTTGCTGAGGCTGGGTTTTTGGAGGCCCGGCCTATGGCCTGTTCTTTTTCTGCTGCTGGTCCTTCCGAGAAGTTCCGACACCTCCCCTGCTCATGGCCTAGAGGGAGTCTTAACTGAGTGCTGGCCTCCTGCTTTATCTCTTGCCAGTCTTGATCTGCCGCTGATTCTTGCTTAATTTACGCTGATGAATACTGCTGTAATAACGGGTCCAATAGGGAATAGGGAGAGGTTATTCACGTCGTCTATAGAGAGAGAGAGAGAGAGAGAGAGAGAGAGAGAGAGAGAGAGAGAGAGAGAGAGAGAGAGAGAGAGAGAGAGAGAGAAGGGGGGACAGAGCTAAAGAGTAGGTGGATTTCCTCACGGGCTGGGGCATTATGCGGTTCTCATGAAATTGGTGAAGGGGTAGAGGGGTCAGATGTTGGGCGGTGGTTACGACGGCAGGGGGTAAAATGGTAAATTGGGCAATAGCTCCGTGGGAGACACAGAGAGCGCTATTGTGCCCGCCTCTTCTTCGAGAAAGGCCTCGAAAAAATGGGAAAAGTTATTAGAGCCTGCCGTGACGAAACTTCTGTGTTTGTTTCCCCCGGACGGGGCCAAAAGCTGCCGCAGGCCCCAAAATGACTTTCGGCGTCATTTTTGCACCCTGTAAACACTTTCCCGCGATTTTTGCACAGGGGGCATTACTGGCAGAGGGAGGGTGCAAACTTGACACGAAAAGTCAATTTGGGGGCTGCGACACTTTTTTCTCCCTTTTGGGGGAAATGAATACAAAGGGTTCATCGTGGGGGGCTTTTATAACTTCTCCCCCCTCCAAATTCCCCCGTCAGAAGGCAACGTCCCGGACTCAAAATGCACAACTCTCCACAGCCTCCACTCAGATGATGCTCGGCCCCTCTGCTACTGGCTGTCCCCTGGCCGGTGTCCCCCGTTGGGGGTTTCCTGAAGGCAATCAAGGCCACCCTGGCCTGAAAAGGCCACCCTATGTCAGATTAGACACAATATTGAATTTACCGGCCCTGGTTAGTCCGATGATAATACCTCAAGGCCATCGCCCTTTAAAGTAATGTATGGACCCAGTTTCCAGCTAGCACAGCTCCCGACCAACTGACCCAAGCCATTACGACTGGGGCGTCCCGACTTGGAGGATCCCGCAGTCGGTCCCCCACATAGGAGTTTGCAAAAGTGGCGAAGTACCAATACCAGCGAGAGCTTGACTGAGCTACCAATACCAACGAGCTTAACTTAGAGCAGTCCGTACACCCATGAACTGTTGAAATCAGTGAAGGCACCTTGACGGTGACCGGCCCCGGTAAGTGACCGCTTTACGGCCAGTCACGGGTCAGGGGACACTGTAACCGTGAGCGGCCGTGCCACCGTTCTCAGGGTTTCCGAACTTTCCGGCCCTTCCAGGACGCCCCCGGGAACAGGAAAGGCGGGAAGGGGGTCCTGAAAGGGCCCCCTATGGCCCCATGATCTTAAATGGTAAACAAAAAGAAGAAGAAAAAGGAGCCCCTCCAACCCCACCTTTTTTTTCGGGGGGGTAACTTCAGCGCAGTCAGGGTAACAGTTTGTAATTGCATTTGAAACTGCGTTTTAGCAGTTTAGTCAGGGCCTGAGTTTCAATTGCAGTTGAGACTCGGGCTGCCTTTCGGTAGCAGTTCAGTCAGGGCCCTGGTCTATCCACGAACAGCAGATATTAAAAAAAAAAAAAAAAAAAAAAAAAACCATCCCTTATGCGGTGATTGCGGTAGAGGATGCCACAGTAAGGGCCTTCTCGACGTAGGTGGATTCAAAGTTCGTGGAAGAGCAGTTAATCCCCTTTTAGCAGGGCAATCAATGCTGCTCTTCACTATACAGCAGATTAGATCGAGTACATACCCCATCAATCACCACAAATTGTGAATGTATAATCAAATGATTTCATGTTTAGGGACTCTGGACCCGTTTTCCAGCAGGTGCCGCTCCCCACCAAAAGATGGACCCTTCCAGATGGCGCTAGCGGTGTTTGCTCTTATCAGCACCCCTAGCGACCCTTTGGGTTGTTTCTCCAAAAAAAAAAAAAAAAAAGTTCCTCTTTTCTTTACTTTTTTATTGCTTCTTTTTCTTTTTTCTTTTTTTGACCTCCATCCCTGCCCCGAGGGCCCCACTTCTTCGGAGTAGGCTACTCTTGAGACTTCGCGTTTGTCTGTGAAGGGTAGTGCTTGCAAATCTCGGGTGTGGCCGAGACATCTCGGCCGTGGCCAATCTGGGGTGTGGCCGAGACATCTCGGCCGTGGCCCAACCATGGGGCTGGTTTTTTTTTTTTTTTTCCAGCCGTTGTGTTGCGGCAAGCAACCGAGGAAAAAAAAAAAAACGAAGAACGAAAGAAACGGGCCGCGCCACGCGCGGCGTGTGACCGGAA